GTTTTCTTTTTAGACATTACAGTCCGCTTCAGTACCCATTGGTCTCTTTCTCTCAGCTTGTCTTTCCGTCCACTATTTTGCTTTATGAAGCTTTTCCTGCCGTGCTGCATGTACGCTGCCATGACTTTAGACAACTTATCCTAGAAACGCCTAACAGCTGTGTGTTTCTGTCACAGTTGCTCCAGCTAGTCGGGCTCCTACAATTTGGCCTCATTGAAAATCTGTAAGGTCTGACATTTTACGCTTTCGACAACATCCGAGACATATGTAACTTAAATAAAGCTACCTCATTCTACCATGATATGTACTTTTTATATTAAATAAAACTGTAACTAGGTTTATAGTATTTAATACTTACGAAACGCATTCTTAAATGTCACTGGTATTCACAAGTGTTTCCATTATTTTGATAGCCACCTGTATATAAAATATATTTTTGCAAACTTGAATGCCTTACACACCAATAAAAATAAACTAAAATATCATTGCCCATCGCAATAGTTGAATAACAAAATTCAACAGATGTGTGAACAGAAAACGATTCCGCTTAAAGTCATTGCACAACGATACCTACAACTGTGATGCAAAAGTGTCTACGATGTTAAAACGCGCATACTGAACAGAAAAGCCATTTTGAGCACATGACATAAAGATATGGTCTTGGTGTTGCATTTGCATGATGTAAGGCAATAGAAATTTCAGTAATTATTGTAGTTTTGTGTTTTGTGCTTTAAACCAGCAAGTTTTACTTCGTTACTGTGACGAGTTACTGAGAGATCGGTACACTACCAACAGCCAGCCACTACGGCTATGAATTCTGGCATAGGGTTGAAGCCGCATGGAATGAAGTATTCGTCAGAGAATATGTATTGTTCCTTAAAGAATATGTATACATATTTTTCGCTATCCGTATCTGTCATCCAAGCTGAGTTCGACCGTGACCTTGTCGACTTGATGCCCAGCCAGATTATAGCCGTTCAGTTGCCAGCTCGGTGTATCGAATTCTACACTCTGTGTTTTCAGGCCACCTGCAAACTGAACCGTACTTTTGTCCCATTATACTGCCTACGTATAACAATAAGATTCTGTCGTTTGCTTTCCTTCCTGATGCAGCAGTTTCAGTGGCTAGCAGTGTGTAATCGTATTAAGGGTGAAAATTATGTTTTATTTTCTAGTTTTTAGTTTAAACCAATTAATAACTCTGTTTCTTATCCGTGTTACATTTAACCTACCTAGTTTATGACCATAGCAAATATTTTGAACAGTTTCATGTCAAATAAATAATAAAATAAAAATTTCGTATCAAAAGCAAAATTTCTTCAGATTGTAGAGACATTAGGTACTTTGGAAGCAGGAAAGATGAAAAATTAGCAAACGCCTTTGCCGGGAATCGAACCACGGATCTTTGGATACCGGCCCAGCCTGCAGAACCACTACACCACGAAGGAACGCTGAGAAGGTGGAAGAAATACCTTACAAGGTAAATAAAATTATGCATAAAAAATCTATTAGAAGATGGGGAAGTATCGTTTCTGAGGAATATATTTTTACATCTTTCTTCGTAAATTTGTTCAAATTTAAAGTGATAAAACATTCACTCTTCTGATTTTCAATATTCAGAATCATCATTAATATTCTTAAGGCACATTTTGAGCGAAAACTATTTTACAAATTCACTTATAACAAAAATCTTAACATTTTACATGAAACATATAAAAAAATCCTAAAATATATTATGTAGTACACTATTTAATTCCTAAATTATTTTCTGATTATCTTTCAGCTTCGGCGATAGTAGTTGATTGGCTACATTTTCGCTATAGATACTCTAAGTTGATTTCCTTTTTTGTGTATTTCGCTACAGAGAACGTAACTTGTAGGGATACATTTATTCTTATTCTCTGTTGATGATGTTCCGTTCTTCAGATTTCGCTTACGAGATAGTTGATGTCTTAGATGATCTGGTTGATTACTTATCATTAAACCATCAACTTCGACAACTTATTGCGATTCGAATGGATAAAAGAACTATAGATTCTCTTTTCGTTCCGTATTCTGTTCTAGACATTATGATCTATTTAGTTCAGGAATTCTAAATCTTTTTCTTGCATCCTTTTCCTTACATTTGCCTCTGCATACAGCATACGACATAATTACACCACAAATAATTTTACAAGCTAAGAGTTAGAACATGAACAGAAGTTTTGAAAAAATTATTTATTTAATATATGTTTGATTATTTTTTTTATTATTATTGTTTTTAATTTTACAAATATAAACAAGTTTTCAGAAACAAAATTTGAGATTCTAATTGTGCAAAATTTCGATTTTAGTAAATATGATGACTGTGTTTGATATATTGATATAATTTTTTAATATTTGGCACAAAATTTCTTAGCTTTAATCTTTAAATCACATCGTTAAAAATATACAAAGTGGTAATTCAAAGTTTTCCATAATAAAATAATTACGACGAAAAATCGGCGATGAAAATTTCTTTAGGTAAGAAGAGGGAAAACTCAATAATTGATGTAGTAACTTTAATTTTGAAGTATTTCTCTCAAATAAATTTAAATCGCATCTATATAAACAAGTCAGTTTTAAAACGAAAATCGAACCGCTTCAGCTTCAGTGAGATTATTGTCTCTTCGCAGTTTCTTTTATGTGGCGTTGAGCAATGAATATATACGTACAATAACGGAAAAAAAAATTCCAACACCAAGGAAAAATTATTGTAGAGTAATGAAATTTGGCCAAGGCATTTATGTAGTTAACATGTTTAATTGATTACATTTTCAAGATCACAGGTTAATTTAAGATCAAGAAAATGCATTTCAAATGTGAAATGCTGTTACATTAATAGCCGGTGTAACCTCCGAATTTTGAATGCAAGCCTGCAAACGTGCATGCATTATATCATACAGATGCTGAATGCCACTTTGTAGTATGAAATTCCATGCTTTTACTTTCTTCTGTCAATAATGGGACGGTCAGTGCTGGCTGTGGATGGCGCTGGAGTTATAGCCCAATGATATCCCATACGTGCTCAATTGGAGGCAGATCTGGTGATCTTGCAGGCCAAGGTAACATGTCGACGACATTCTGTAGAGCACGTTGCGTTACAACAGCGGTATGAAGACGAGCGTTATCCTGTTGGAAAACTCCCCCTTGAATGCTGTTCATGAATAGTAGCACTACAGGTTTGCTTGGAATAACCACGAGAGTACTCCTGCTGGCACAGGAATTGCTCCCCAGACCATGACTCCATATGCAGGTCCAGGTGTGTATCTAGGCAGCAGACGTTTAGACTCCAGATGGATGACTCCAGATGTGTGTCTAGGCAGCAGACAGTTTGGTTGCAGGCCTTCTCCTGGCATCCTTCTGACCAACACACGGCTATCATTAGCACCAAGGCAGAACCTGCTTTCATCAGAAAACATAACAGATCTTTACTCTGTCCTCCATTGAGCTCTTGTTTGACACCACTGGAATCACAAACGGCAATAGCTTGGGTTCAGTGGAATGCACGCTACATAGCTCGGAGCTGTCCTTGAATTAACCAATTTGTAACAGTTCGTTGTGTCACTGTGGTACCAACTGCAGTTCGAATTTCTGCCGCAGACGCAGTACGATGCGCGGCAGCCTTACGCCGAATACGTCGGTCTTTCTTCTCAGTAGTTCCACGTGGCGGCCCGGAACCCGGTCTGAAACCAGTAGACGTCAAGGTGTTGGGCGTCCACAAATCATCAAAGAAAAAGGACGCCAGGGACTGTCCCACTTGGTACAGAAAAATCGACGCCAAACAGTGGCTCAGCTGACAGCCCATTACAATGCATGTCCAAGCGCAAATGTTCCGGAACACACAGTTCAGCGGACACTGTTTGATATGGGACTGCGCAGCAGACGTCCCACTTGTGTGCCTCTGTTGACCAAGCGTCATTGTCAACTACGCCTAAAGCGGGCCCGAGAATATAGAGATTGGATCATTGGTAAGACAGTTGCCTGGTCGGATGAATCACGATTTCTCATTTATCATGTCGATGGTTGTGTCAGAGTACGCTGTCTTTTAGGCAAACAGTTGCTCTTCCCTCTACAGAAGGTCATACACAGGCTGATGGTGGCGGTATTATGCTTTGAGAGATTTTCTCATGGGCGGTTCTGAGAACCTTAGTTGTGATAGAACAGAGTATGAAGGCTGCGAACTATTTGAACATAATTGCGGATCAGTTGCACCTTTACATAGCGTCTGTCTTCCAGCAGGACAACGCCCCATGTCACAAGGATCGAATTGTGTTAAAGTGGTTCGAGGACCATAAGAATGAATTCCTTGTTAATGTCCTGGCCACCTATCTCGCCGGATCTCAACTCGATAAAGCACACTAGGGATGTCATGGAGCGGCCTTTGCAGCTGTTTCATAGGCCGAAAGTCTCGCAATATGTCATAATATTTTGGCTCTTAGAGAATTTGGGCTGATGCCTCTTTGGGAAACAGTATAGTTTTAGAATTTCCGGTAAACAGTTTCGCGCGCTGAAGATAATTTTTTTTTTTTTTTTCCGTACAGTGTCACCACTGCTCGTTTTGAAATCGTTGAATTTATCAGTCAAAAATTAGTGAAGGTTTACAAAATATGAAATAGGTAATAGAATAATTTCCAAATTCGAGCTTCCAGGTGCCCATATTCGGGTGGAGGACTATGTTATTGAAAATTTGATGGTTCAAGGTACTGTTGTTTAATCACAGAGAAACATGTATACATTCGTTGAGATTCTTCATTATTTAATTATTTTAAATATAATATAGGGTGATAATATTTGGTGACAACAATTTCAAAAATGAAACGAGCATTTACAAAGAACCGGCGCAAAACGCCGTTTCGAGACACCCATTTGGGCTAAAAAAGTGTATAGCTTTGAAATAATGGCTGAATTTTTCGTGGAATAACATTTGATCCACCATAAATCAACATTTTACATTAACTCTTACAGATTAGGTCTGAGGAGAAGATTTTCTAACTGAAGACTGCATAAAACCCTAGGTAATGGAGCGACTGAAGTATGAAGCTGATTATGAGAGACAAAGAAAATTTCTGCGTGAGAGGTATCTGCACATAAAACGCAACTATGTCTGCGACAGTAGCAATGAGCGATACCAGTGGCCTGCCCCATCTTTAAAAGTAGGCATTTGACCTCTCTTTCTAAAGATGTGAGAATGCTTTAAAGAAAGAAATGCATGCTCACATTTTCTCTTTATACATATTTAATTCTTATGCAATCATAGTTTGAATGAAAATACACCTTACATTTTGCGGGAAAGTTTAAAACATCGTTCCGTATAATCAATCACCGTCATAACGAATTTTATAAGATCGAAAATTTAGTTTGCTGTATCCGGTAGTTCACGAAAACCGATCTCGTACAAAAAAATGGATCACATTCCAAGCCGGCTGTAACGAACCCCCAGATATTACGAACAAACCTTTCGATTCCGTCAGACTTCCAGAATTTCCACAAGTTTTAACGGGAAAATTGATAACCCTTAAAACAATGCACGTTTAGGATGTTAGGATCCTTGTTCCATAGGTAAAGGGAAAGAAACTTCTTCACATTGCTTTCCTTTTTATAATCAACCTAAAAGAACGAGAACTGAATAAGCAAATCTCAGGACACCGTACGGCGTTTTTTGTATAAAAGTGCATCTAACCATTAAATCAAAGAAAGACAATGGATTCCATTCAAATTCTTTGACTGAACTGTCAGACAGAAGCTGAAAAGTAGGATAGAAATTTTGAAATTTTGGCTGTTCAGGAGAGGAGGAAGTAGCAAATCTGAGTTTGGATTATACAGTTGATTCGCCTTTTAGGGAATTAAATATTTTTTAATTTTATCTTTTTACTTCCTTGAACGAAGTAAAGGAAATAAAAATACATATATATAAAGGGTGGTCTAAAATTACTGAGCCCATTTCATGTTTGAAAAATTAGAAAGGAACAAAATGGGATGGGTACATGTTTATTTCCTTGGAAAGACAATTTAAAACAGTTTTACACAACAAAATTTTAAACATTAAGTAGCTTTGACCATGAGGTCTATTTGTGGCCCGCAATTTAAATGTGAATCGAGCTCAGTAATTTTAGACTACCCTGTATATCTACTCTGTTACCCGGTTCGGTAAGCTCAGATTTTTTATTCTTATATGATGGTAAATTGTGCGTTTTTTTTTTCCTTTTAAACCTAACTGAATTATGTTGTTCTTATGTTCCGGTTAAGGTTTTTATCCCTTTAATTAATCTGCATGCAATAGTTGTATGATTATCAAAAACTTAAAAGTTGTTTAGGTGCTACTAAACCTAACGAGACTTCAATTTATTTACATTTAAATCTCTTAATAGAATGTTGAATTAAGTCGCTTTGTGCACCAACTTCAGTGCGATATGGAACCAAAAATAAACTTTCAGTTTTGTGCACCGATAAATATGTCTTTATACCCGCTGACTGAATTGTTTTCTTCGTAGAAACTTTATTTTAATTATAAAAATTGTTTCTTACTGTTTTTAACTGTATTTATTGCTTTTTTTTTTTTTTTTTCACTATACAATTTTTAATGAAGATATTTCGAGTTTTTAGGCATTTTTGTCTTTCCGCGAAGTGAGAACTGAATTAATTAAATGCGAAATATACCTTTAATGAAATTCGAAGAAATAAGTCTGAATGAAATTCAGCAAAAAGTGTATATAATTTAATAGGCCGTACAAGGAAGTCATATGGTGTCCACAGCAGGTGTTCTGTTTTGTTTGAGTGTAAACGCAATCCAAGTTCTGTCTTCCAGGATAGGGGTTTTTGAAATATTTTGTTCTTTTGAAAGACATAGGATATTTTTTACAAAAATGATTGAATTTCTCCCTTTGCAACTATACATATCTTTAGTAAAAGGTAAAGGTAAACTCGTCGATAATTTTTGTTACTTGTTTTCATACATATATATATAAATACTGTTTGTACTTCTCTGTACGAAATAAAGAAAGCATTGTAATCGAGAAAAATTTCGGGTATCTTATTTCAACGGGAATATTCATTTTGAACGTTCCCGAATCCATTTGTTCAATGTTTTGCATCACATCTGTACGTACGGACATAATAAAGGATTCTTTATTCCAAAACGAATTGTAAAATGGATTCAAAATGAAATTTTTCATGACCTCTGTAAATACGTACGTATGTATCTTGCATAAGCGTAAAACGAAGAGCCGCGAAACATTGAAATTTTGTATATGGAAGTGCTATAACATGCAAGTTTATTTCTCCTTTTTTGTTGTAATTTAATTAATTTGTTTTTCAACTTGACTCGAGGGATTGTTTAATTAAGAATAATTCGAAGAAATAAGTTTAAATGAATTGCGGCCCAAAATGTGCTTAATTTAATAGGGCGCACAAGGATGTCATGGGGTGATTACACCAGATTTTTTTTTAAACCCAAAAGGGCTATGAATCATGAAAAACGATTTTTACGCGTTGATTCGCTTTAAATATCGTCTGTTGCAAATTAATTGTTTCACTTTTCGTATGTCTTCTGATTTGCTTCGGGAACATTACGTGTCTTGAATAGGAAGAGGGAGCTTACTCAAGCTATGTTCAAGTAAGAAGTAGGAAGAGAGAAGCGAAGCAGCGTCAATACAGGTAGAAGCAAAAGTGCGCAGTTATCCAACATGGCAACTTATAACAGGCAGTTTAAGTTCCGAATTAGTGACTTCATCAGCGTAATTAAGTCATATTGTCAGGACTTGTATGTCTTTTGACTTGTTTAGGGAATATTACGTGTCTAGGAACAGGGAGCTTATTCAAGCTATGTTTAAGTATGTGTGGAATGGACGACACAAGCAGGAAGGGTTAGTGTCCACGATATTGCAGGTGCTCCCGCAATTCGGGATAAAAATACCAACCACTTGTGATCTGAACGTAAAATATTTAAAAAAAAAAAAAAAAAAAAAAAAAAAAAAAAAAACCCTACTAACTAAAATTTTAAATAACAGCTCACTTTGAATTAGTTTACACAAATGCCTAACACTAAGACTGGCCTTAACACTAAGACTTAAATTATTACGTATGTAGTACACAAACTGCCGAAACTACAATGCGTTCTAAAATATCAAGAGGACTAAACTTCTGGCCTTAAAGGCGGACAGCAGCTGATTGAAAACTCGTACAGAATGCAGTGGCAAGGCGGCTCACTTTCCCTCTCTATCTAACTCTTGGCAAAAAGCCACAAGTTAAATACTTGGGCGTTAAAAAGTACAATTTGCATAAACAAGTTAACACATTTAATTCTGGCCGGAAGTGGAAAATAAGAAGTTATAGTAAAGTTTTAAAATAAAATAAACGTTAATGAAACTTAAGATCCTTACAAAGTCTCTTGCCATTCGGCCAGCTTTTAAGAATATCTTAATTTTCCATAATATTGATTAAAATACAAATGCGTTTAATTCGCGATATATTTAATGAAAAGCATTCAATGTTTCTATAAAATGACTTCTATATTTTTTCACTCTTCAGATATACAGAAGATAAAACATGTTCCCATCTTAGTTTAAATGTATATTCATCCAGCATCCTGTAAAAAATTCAGCTCTTCCACCTGGATCATTTGTATTGATAATGCCAACTGATAAATCTCTATTAAATTTCGCGAAAGTTCGTTAGGAGGATCATTAAAATCTTAACTCTTTCAGACTTTTTTCGAACCTAGGTTTTATTTACATAGTGAAGTAACATGTAAAGAATAAAATACTTCTTTAGTGGGGTTACGTTCATAAAAGTTTTGCTTAGATTTTTTTTTTTTTTCCTCCTATATGGGGGGGGGGGCCTTTTAAATTTGTTCTCAGAAATTTTGAAACCAGAAATAGGGAGGGAAAAATCAGGTATTTCGTGAATTTTGCACTTAAAGAAATGAACAACTTTGCTTTTAACTAATTAAAACATCATGAATATTTTGTTGACTGAGAATTTTATACTCCGGAGACAATATTTACAGAATTTAAAATTGGATTTTGTTATTACAAAACCGACTTTTGTTTTCACGTCAAACATAGATGGTCATAAAAATGCCATCGCTATTATACTGCAGTATCATAGAGAAGAGTGTTTTTCGGCCTTGCCATTAACTCAGATATGTGCCTTCATATATGGACCCTCATACCTTCTTCTGTATAAGAACAACCGTCAGATAGTACCGTCACGTTGTGACGCTTAATGGAAATATTACTAATCTGAAGTAAGTCTCTTGGCAAGTCATACTTCAAAATAGTTACTTTTTTATCACCTCTTTAATTACCTCAATAACTTATGCTTATATTTCATTACTTTGTTGGAATTTAGAACAAGGTCTTCGAGACTGCATAGTTGATAAATTACGCAGCAGAGAATGATTTAAAGGAACATTAATGATTACGTCTCTATTTTTTTCCCCCAGTGGCGGGCACTTGCCTATAACGGCATTGGCAACTACTAAGGCCAGAAGTGGTGACTCTTTTATTGTGAAGGCATCTAATAGGTGGCCACCGTTACCTCCTATGAAGGGACAGATAATTTTACATCCATGCCTTCTCCGGGATTCGAATCCAGGGCCTTTGGTATCCAGGGCCTTTGGTAAAAAAGAAACATTTGTATCTCCAGAGCGCGAGACTGTGTGTCGGAAATTCTAAAGATAGGCTCATTTTAAAACTATTTTGCGATATTGCTGTTGAATTGAATTTCATGATTTAAGTGCAAAGAACATGATATTTAATAAAGGTAACACAGAAAACGTTAAAAAAACGCCCCTTTGGGTGCAATGTAAAATCTGAAAGCTTTCAGATTTAATTATGCAGATTTGATTTAATTTAATTATCAGATTATTAATTTTGCACTAGGTAACTCGCACAACTCAAAAAAGCTAATGCTGTAGAACGCTGAAATTCTGTGTATGAGACAATGAGACTGCTATAACATCTCGTTGTGAACTATCTTTTTTTTATTGTAATGGCTAATACCAAAAGTATATATATATATATATATATATATATATATATATATATGTATATATATACCCATCCATTTCTTACCCGGCATAAAAGTCCTTACTCAGCCTTATTTTCGTGATCATTGGTCGTGGTCATATGTTCCCTCGCCAGGATTCGAACTA